ATTCCATGATTAATCAAAGCCAGCTTTCCTCACTCTAAATTATAAAAAAAGAGGAGTATTTTGCAGTTATTTCTAAATGAGAAGAGATCTTTGTGATGATCAGGGCTTACTTCATGAGAAACAAAAGGTACCCAGCTACACGCAGTGATTTTCATCCATAGAATCATRGAATCATGGAATTATAGATTAAGGATTTAATTTTCATCCATAGAATCATAGAATCATAGAACCATAGAATCATGGAATTATAGATTAAGKGTTTGGAAACGACTTAAAAAAGCAACCCAAACCACCCTGCCACAGGCAGGTACAACCCCCWSTAGASCAGGTTKCTCAAAGCYTTCCAGMCTKGCTTTGAAAACTGCCARGGCAGTGGGGCATCCACAACCTCYCTGTGTCACYTGTTYTGGCATCTCACCACCSTCACAGTAGAAAYTTTCYTCCTAATAGCCTAATAAAAATTCCWCTTCCTTCACCTCGTACTCGTTACTCTTTGCCGTGTCCCTACAGCTCCTTACTAAGAGTCGCTCTCCGATTTTCTTGTAGTTTCCTACCCAAACCTTTCATTTATAATTAATTTCCGATTTTGGGCAGCGGAGGGGGGAGAAGCGGTGCCGCCTCCGCGCCACCAGGGGGCAGCACCGGCCCGCTCCGAGCCCCGGCCTGGCCACGCCCCTCGGCCCCGCCCTCAGCCACGCCCCGGCCACGCCCCCGGCCCGGAGCCGCACGATGGCGGCGGCAGCGGGCGGGCGGCGGCGGCGGCGCCGCTGAGCGCCGGGAGAGCCCCGAGGGGCGGCGGGGGCTTCCCGCACCCCTTCCCCTTCCCTCATATCCCCCTCCCCTTTTCCCCGACCCCCCCGTCCCCCCGCTGCGCCGTCCATGGTTACGGGCGGCCGCGGCGGCCTCGCAGCGGAGCTGTTTGGGCGGGAGCCGGTGAGGGAGCAGCGGCCGCAGGTGAGCGGGGGAGGGTCGCAGGTGACCCCCGGTAACGGGCACGGGGTTGTTATGGTGGCATAAAAGTGATGGAAGGGAACGGGGAGGCGCCACCCACGCGTGTCCGCGGAGTTGGGGCACCCCCGCCCTGTCCGCAGCCAGCGCGGAGTTTGGGACATTTTGTGCGTTTCAATGTGTGTTTGTTAATGGTGATTTCTGAAAGTGAGCAMGGGCTGGGGATTGTGGATTTGCTCCGTTGGAGCGAGTCCAGGGGAGGCCGGCAAGTTGATGGGAGGGATGGAGCACCTCTGCTGTGARRAAAGGCTGGGAGAATTGGGATTGTTCAGCCTGGGGAGGAGAAGGATCCGGGGTGACTTAACTGGGGCCTTTCAGTACTCGGAGGGAGGTACGAGAAAAATGGAGAGACACTTTTTTTTAAAAGGGCCCGGAGTGACGGGAGAAGGGGAAATGGACTCAAATTGAAAGAGGGTAGGATTAGATTAGATATTAGGAAGATGTTTCTCCCTGTAAGGGTGGTGAGGCTCTGGCACAGGTTTCCCAGAGAAGCTGTGGCTGCCCCTGGATCCCTGGAGGTGTTCAAGGCCAGGTGGGATGGGGCTCTGAGCACCCTTGGGATAGTGGAAGGTGCCCCTGCCCATGGCAGGGGGTATGAACAGGACGGGCTTTAAGTTCCATTCCAGCCCAAACCATTCCAGGATTCTGTGAATCTCCTGCTGTGGGTTTGCAGTGACCCACAGCCTCCTGCACTCATGGGGGGCCGAGCTGGGGACACCCCTCTGACACCCAGAAAACCACTGCAGGGCAGGGCCACCACGGCCACAATCTCCTGCCACCACCCACCACCTCCCTGCTGCAGGATCGCCAGGATCCCTGGATACCCCACTCAGGACCCTGGGGCATCTGGTTAGTGAGGAATCCTCCTGACCCACAGTCTGACCACACCTCCCTTGGCAGATCCAGGCAGTGCTGGTATCCAAAGGCTTTTTTTGGGATGGATATTCCAGCCTGGGGGGCTTAAGACCTGGCTGCTTCCTGTGCCATGCTGCCAGGAGATGCTTCAGGCTGGAGCATTACAGGGGACACCCTCCTTGCTGTGGGTTCTGAAGGGTCTGTCCCTTCCTTGTGGGCTCTGTCTCCTTCTCTTTCCCTCTCGAAGGGTGTGTCCCGCTGCCTCCTCGCATCCCAAACGGGAATCCCAAATGGGAATGTCTGTTCTGCCCCTCTCCAGGCTCTCCCACGCTCGGGTAGCTGCATCCTCCCTCCTCGGCCAGCGCTTGCTTATTTCTGATCTTGGATGTCATCGAGGCTGGAAAATGTGACAGGAAGGAAGGGAGGCTTTTTTTCCCTCCTGCTAAATATGGACTGACATTAAAAATCCAAATACTGTCGTGAAAGGAATCCCAACCTCTGTTTGTCGAGGGAGAGAAAAAACGATGTTTTCTGGCTTTTCGGCTGTGAGGTTCCAGCTGGGAAGTTTCGCAAGGAGTGGTGGAGTCCTTGCCGGGAGCCTCAGGAATTTACTGAGCTTGTTCACAGGACGCTCTCTGCAGCGTCTTACATTAAAAAAAAAAAAAAAAAAAAANAGAGCAAAGAAAGCAAGCAGAACTTTCTCTGTGGAGTTTTATTTGATTTGGGATATAGCTCTTCTCTTTCAACTAATATAATCCAAACATGTTGATCTTTAAAAGCAGACTATAAAAGCCTGTCTTTTATGGTCACAGGGCAACATCTATCACAGCACTTACAATCTTGCTCACTCAAGGAAAAAAATATCATTTCCCACCGTTGTGTTTATCTTATTTTGTTTTACTAGTATTGGAAATAATTTTACAGTAAGCCACATATCTGAAACATAATTCTGTACAAAAATTCAGTATATCTACAGCATCCATTCTTGCTCTTCCAATATACCCATACTTTTCTTCTTACATTAAAAAAAAAAAAAAAAAAAAAAAAAAAATTAGTCATCCTTCTCTGTCTGCCCGTGGCTGGGGGGGAGCTTGCTGCGAGCATGCAGGATGCTCAGAAATATTTAAGGATTTTTTTTCCTCCTGTACAAGGAGTACTAGAAATGGTACAGGAAATAAAACTGCGGCCCCAACAGGAGTTTTTCATCTTTATTTTAATTCCTGTTGCTGCAGCGGCCAGTGGCAGGGAGGGGAAGGATGTGCACAGGGGGACTGCAGCCGGGTTTGCAGGGAGGATTTGTCTCTCTGTCAAGCGTCAAATGCAAATTGATGCTGTCATTGGTGTGGGAAATGGGCTCTGTGTGGAATTMTGGGATGAGGAATGGGATCACAGGGGTTAGTCATGGCACTGCCAGCTCCCCAGTGGCCAGGGTGAAAAGCCAGGATGCTTTTTGGGGARCAGGAACCACAGCTTCCCCAGGAGCTGGGGGTGCGGAGAGGGAGACTCAGTGTCTGTGCTGGGCAGAATGTGGGCACTGCCACCTTCCCATTTCATGTGTTTCTTTCCATCCCTGTTGAGCTTTCTGGGGAGTGCCTTTCCATCCCCCCAGAGAGCTTTCTGGGGAGTGCCTGTGGAAAGCTCCAGGGTTTTTGCCTATTCTTTGTAAAAACAAGTGGTTGGTTACAGTTKGKTCAAGGYGGTGGAGTCACCATCCCTGGAGGTRTCCAACCACTGCTCTGGTGACAAGGTGGGGATTGGTYRCAGGTTACACTTGTGATGTGATGATCTTGGGGGTCTTTTCCAACCTAATTRATGCTKTGAAAGCAGCAGGGGGATCCTGGGAGGTGTTGGAATCGCTATTTCCCATTTCCAGGGCCCTGTTGTCCTGGTGCTGCTGTGTTGTTCCTGAGGAGACACAGCCCTGCCTTCCTGAAACATCCCTCATAAAAAAAACTGAATCTCTGTGCTGCTCTGTGATACTGATCCATGTCCAACATCAAYATCCTTGTGGAAGAGCAGTTAGAATTCCCTCTCTCCTCATCTCCTTTGCTGCCAACCTACCTCTGTTGTGCTCCAGCCCTCTGTGTTTCCAGCAGGGTGGTGGATCCCAATCCAGCAGGGAGGGCGCAGGTTGTGTGACCTCGGCTGTCTCACTGTCATGGTCTGTGTGATGTCTGAAAACTGGAGAGCATGGGATGGGATATTTTGTGTGGAACAGAGCGCCTGTAATGTTTCCACAGGGTTAGGAATGGCACCAGCTGCTGCCCAGTGTTCCCCTCCTGGTGTGGCACGGGCAGGAGGTCGGTCAGCCCCAGCGCCTGCTCTCTGGGTTCATTCACAAATCGCATTTTCCTCTGGAAATAAAACAAATCCCCAGRCTTTCCTCTCATGGTGGAAGTAATTTGAACTCAACCAGGTCTGTAAGCATCCCCAAAGCCTGCGGACAGGAAGAGACACTTGAGCRGAGAGGTAGGAAATGTCCACATTTAGAGCAGTGGCTGATTCATCTCCTGCTCTTAACTCTTTCCCCCCTGACTTTCGTGGCATTCAGCTGGTTTGCTTCAAAGCTTGGAGCCCAAGGAGGCTCTGGCTGGATCACAGAATATTGGTACATCGTGTTTACGTGGTTTGGGGTGGAAAAGGAGTGGGGTGTGCGGTTATCTGAATCGGATACCCGGAACATTGGCAGGAACATTAGGGAGGATTAATATTTAATATATAGGGTATGAACCATTGTGCTTAATCACTATCTGAAGGGCTTAGGAGGAGATTTAGCGATAAGCAAGTGATTCCTGAGCTGTCCAGAGTGATTTCTTGCATCTTGCTCTGGAGCAGCTGGTCCTGGATATCGCTAGAGGCTGRTGYGATCCTGTTCTTCCTGATGTCTCCMGTCTTTGCAAGTGGGCAGAGTGGCTTTCATCACGAGTGTTTGCTTCTCATTAAACTCACAAATACTCTGGAAACCCTTTTTCTCTGATGCAGCTCACGTGGCTGGACTGTCAGCCTGTGGTACCTGTCAGCACTTGAAACCTCTGTGTATGGCCAAAGCTCGTGGGAAACARGCCGTGGGATCCATGGACATCGTCACTGTCACAGACATCTGCCCAGCCCCTAGTCCAGAGGCAGCTCATTCATTCTTTCATCTGTCTAACCTCTTTAGGAGGCCTTTCATGTCATCTCCAGGCTCCCACTGTGGTGCTGGAACTCCCCATGAGAGCAGTGCTGCTTTCCATGTTCCCCCACAGGGTTTTTTTTCTGCAGTGTGAGGTGTTCTGTGGTACAGCAAGGTGGGGGCTGCCCCTCTGGAAATGGGGCTGCTGTGTTTGTGCAGGGAGGAGGTGATGCTGTGTCCAAGGCTGGAGTTCTCATCACAAGAAGGACTTAGAGTGACTGCAGAAGAAGCTGTAAAGATGCTCCCAGGGCTGGAGCCCCTCTGCTCTGCAGCCAGGCTGAGAGAGCTGGAGGTGTTCACCAAGAGAAGGCTCCAGAGAGACTTCAGAGCCCCTTTTGGGGCCTGAAGGGGCTCCAGGAGAGCTGGAGGGGGACTGGGGACAAGGGATGGAATGTTAGGACAAGGGGGAATGGCTTCCCACTGCCAGAGGGTGGGTTAGATTGGGTATTAGGAAGAAATTCTTCCCTAGGAGAGTGGGGAGGCCCTGGCACAGGGTGCCCAGAGAAGCTGTGGCTGCTCCATCCCTGGAAGTGTCCAAGGCCAGGCTGGACAGGGCTTGGAGCACCCTGGGATAGTGAAAGGTGTCCCTTACCATGGCAGGAGTTAGAACTGGATGCTCTTTCAGGTGCCTTCTCACCCCAGCCATGCYGGGATTCCAGGATTCTATGCCAGGGCACAGAAATAATCCATCTCCACAGCCACATGTCCTGCAAATGTTAGGGTTGTGTCTCCACGGAGGGAAACCCTTCTTGAGGCTGCGGGAGGGTGTGTGCCAGCAGCTCCCTTCCCTCCCTGCTCCAAATTAAAACTCTCCTGGCTGAGAGCATTGCCCATGGCCATCAGAACCGCCGGGCTGTGGTTGCTTTGTGTGGCACCTCCGTGTTTATGGCAGCTGCAGTTTTGGTGGTGGAATCAGAAC